GACAGACAACCATTCGCACTCACATTCACACCTAGTGGCAATTTGGATTATCCAACCTATCCCCACAAGCTTTGGACGGTGGGAGGAAGCCGGAGTACCCGGAGGAAACCCACGCAAACACGGGGAGAACATGTAAACTCCACACAGAAAGACCCCGGCCTGATGGTGGAATTGAACTCAGGACCTTCTTGCTGTGTGGCAACAGTGCTAACCACCGTGCCACCGTGCTGCCTGGCATAACTAACATTTGCAGTAAATGGACACACATTTGGCAGTTTTCGATGATTTTAAATTGGCCCTCAGCATGAATGTGAAAATGTCTCTCTGTGTTAGTCCTGATACAGACTGTCAGGGTACCCTGTCTTTTGCCCTGAGACAGCACCCCTTTAACCTTGAATTGGACAATGGATGGATGGATAATTATGATTAAAAAAATGTGACATGAGCACAACATGTCGGCACACATCAGTGATGCTGTTTCTCTTGCAGCCCAGTCACTGCATTAAAACGTTGATATTGTTCATTTCTACAAACCATAAGTATAATCTCAAGTTTATCACAACTCTTTTCATATTGTTTAGCGTCTCAAGATTATGAAGCCCCTCTCTGTGGGTGAGCTTGAAGGGATTTATTTGCCTTTGATTTTGGTAGCTAAGAAGCATATTGTCATCAAAGCATGAACTAAGATATGAACAGATGCAAAACGTTTGACACTGCTGAAACCACTGGAGCGTACATGTGTGTGTGCGCGTGACAGTGTGTGCTAGCAGCAGCTAATCATATTCTTCTGTGATTCCCAGCTGGTTGCCACGGCCGACAGGTCTGCCAGATCGCTGAAGTTGCGAACTCCTTTGCTGACCCTTGTCCTCAGCTGAAGAGCTACCTGTCTGTGGACTACCACTGCAAAGACGGTAGGTCACGGTTCTGTGCTCAGGTTAATTTCTTTTTTTTTCCTCTAAAGTGGAATCACACTTCCTAAATCCATGAAGGGCAGCGTGTGTCTGTTCTTTTCTATCCCATCTGTTTAATTTTCCCACTTAGAGTACTACATAGAGTAATTAGGAGCCAGTAAAGTGTTAGAATAAGATTAACTATGGTTGATGATGCTTGATGCAGGCGTTAGAACCCCAATGAAAAAATGCTGCCAATCTAGCTCTCAAAACATTGCCAATAAATTTCTCTCACACTCTGTGGCTCATTTCACTTCTGGTGAGTGTGAAGATAAAAATATGGCTCACAAAGATTTAAAGTTCTCCCACTTGTTTAACCACGGAGAATTATTAAAACAGCGTTATTTACCTCAAATAGCACAAAGACAGTTGTAAAAATGTTTCAGAAATAAAACACTTTACTTCATAGTAGGAAGATTAACATAACTTTATCATTTCATGGAGGTCTGAGTTTGTCTCCATCGGTAGCGACGTCTCGCCTGGCAGATCCCGATGTACTAATGACAACTGAAGAAGTGAAAGAAAAAGGGGGGAGGGTGGGGCACGAAAATGAGAACAAAATCTTGTAAAACTGGGGGGTCATATATAGATAAGACCCAGAAGGGGTGTGTTTTTGGAGCCTTGGTCCCGCTCCTGAAATTCAGATAAATTATCTCCAATTGTTTCCAAATTTTTGATGAGCAATTTAAAGTTTTACTCAGAAACAGGAGCACAATCTCTTCTCATCACTCTCATACTTTACTGGAGTTCTTGGACAGAACAGATGGATTGTTAATGTTAATAGCAACGTAAAAAGGAAAAGGACTAGCTGTACTGAGGGTTTTTTTTTTATTTGGCAGCAGCAGCTGTTCAGGTAAATGTCAAACAAACAATCCAAGCTTCACACTGAAATTCATTTTATATGTTTCACTGACAAGTTATATTATAGGTCAAACTATCAGACACGGTCTGCTTCTACAGTGACCCTTATCTCAACATCGGTAGATTCAAAACGGAAAGATTCCTCAGAGACGTCGGGCCATTTTGACACGATCGCATCACGCAGCTGCAGCAGCTGCACATCTGTGATGTGAACATGTTGTTCACCACATCTAAAAGGTGCTCCAGTGGATTGAGATCTGGTGACTGCGGAGGTCCTGGGAGTGCAGTGAACTCGTTGTCATCCTCAGGACACAAGCTTGAGCTGATCTGAGCTTTGTGGCATAGTGTGTTAACCTGCTGGAAGCCACCAGCAGTAGATGATACACTGTGGTTACAACAGGATGGTCACCAGTGATTCTCCGGTAGGCCTTGGCATTTAAAGGATGCTCAGCTGGTACCAAGGGGCCCAAAGTATGATAAGAAAATATCCCCCACAGCATTACCTGAACTGCTGACTCCATCATTTCATGTTGTTTGCACCAAATTCTGATCCTAACATCTGAATGTCAGAGCAGAAATTGAGACCTATCAGACCAGACAGTGTTTTTCCAACGATGAGCCTGTGCAAGCTCTAGGCTCAGTCACGTTACCTGTACCTGACAGGAATGGCTTATACCAGGAGTGTCACAGATAAGGCTGGAGGGGCAGAATTGGCCGCGCAAAGATGACAATCTGTCCTGCTGGAAGGCTTTAGGAAATGTGACAGAGTACATAGATTTTGAACTCTTGGCTGTGTTGTCATAACGTTTCCTACTGATAAAGATGTAACTCCCATTGGCAAATACAACACCGAAGTGTTTAAGCAATAGAGAAACGATTAAATGACAAAAAGGTTCCAGTTTTCCCACTATCTACTTTAGAAAGTTGAAACTAAACCAGCCTACTGGCATCTTTGAAATAAAGTCAAACTGGGAGATTTGTGCCCCAGCAAGATCTGGAGAAGCTCACTCAGGTCTTTAATTCATGTAGAGTTTAGTACTGGAGTGCTGTTTTTGGAAACACTATGAGACAGCTACTGTTAGCTCAAAATGCGACTGAACTCTAATTCTCAGCTCCCTACATTTTTAATTTAAAGTAATTTCGGTTGTTTATAAATCATTAAATGGCATGGCCCCCAGAAATATATATATGATCAGTCCCATTAATCCCAACAAAAAAAAGTACAAACCAATCTATAGTTGACAACAAAGGCTGCATTTCCAGTTTATTTCTTTGGGCTGTTTTCTTATTTTTTTGCTCAGATCACATTAAAATCAGATCATGCTCCTGAATTAAATAACCTCTATGGTATCTGTGCTTCTATCTGTTGAGATCTTGTGCTTGTCTATTTTTTGCTTGCTGGGCTACAAGTGCTTTGTAACATTTCTGGTCATCCTCCCACACCACAGGGCTCGCACTGTCAGTTAATCCCACCGCTGTGGTTCTTGGTGACGTCAGAATCCACGTGAAGTGGCTTTTACATTCACCCCTGACAAACTTTAGCTGCAGAGTGAACACAGGAGATGGCCATGTAATTAATTTGAACAATCCAAAAGGGTGAGTATCAACATTAATAATCTTTAGGTTTTTTCAGCCATGAGTTTAAAGAACATTTTCTGCATTATTTTCCACATGAGGTTAGTTATTTTTGTGTAGGTGTCAAAGTTTTGTTTTTGCCTTCTATCCTGCTTTCTTGTTACTAAGTTTTGCACATCCTTGATTCCTTTCCTTGGCATCCTCTCAGTGCACTTAGTCCATCGTACCTGAGACACGAGCAGAGGAGATGAGGATGAAAAAGGAGGAGCAAGGAGTCAGTGCAACTGGCACTTAACATACTGAGACAGTTGCTCCAGGCTGCTATTTAAAAGCAATGACAATAAATTTATGCGGCACAGCTGCTTCCTCTGCAAAGCAGTTATTGCTTCTTCGATATGGAAAAAAAACCTCATTTTTTGTGTAGACTCCCAGTTTGAGGATAGTTTATATGTTACAGAGGTGTAGCACTCCTCATTCACGCATCACGGCAGGAAAAAACAAGTTTTGCAATATACAACTGTAGCTCCTCGGACAAGCCTCCTCTTCTGCTCAACAATGTGAGAGAGCCTTCAATAAAATAATCAGACTGATTTCCAAGTCACAGGCGGAAGGATAGGCTGAAATAGGCTCCACCCTGATTTGGACAAAAGGAGGAAAATGAATGGAGGGATGACAGATGAGACAAAGATGCACAAAGTAGAGAAATTAAAAATTTCCCCATCACTCCTAACACTGTGTCAAAATCACCTGCCAATTGTCTTCAGTCCAACTGGCGGGGGAATTCACCAGATGGACTGATCAATCCAATCAATCTACTCTATTTCCAGTTTCCAGCTCACCAACACCCAGCTCACCTCCTGTGATTCCCAAATGCATCCCATTGGCTTTTTGTGCTTTTACATACTACATTTGTGTGGGTGGGTGTGTGGGACTGTCATATACAAATGAACATCTGTTAGATTCAAGCTCATTCGTAATCAGTTAATCAGTGGTGATTAAATCTGTATTTCCTGTTTTTGGAGGGCACAGTTTCAGTTTTGAATCCTGGTGTCTGTGGCGACAGTCACTGCTGTACTGGTAGTAATGCCTTTTACGTCAGCCGGCAGTAATTTGTTTACCAGAGCTGACAAGGCGCACAGCAACAGAAACATTACAGCATAGAAGTAGGATGCAGCCTAGGAACCATGCCAGAGAAGGTTTTGACGCTTCAGCTATAAAAGGCTCAGCACTTAGAAGAAGCAATGCAGTCTACAAAATAAATAAAAAATCAGTCAACAGTTGAGTGTGTCATGAGCCTGCGTCAGCACTGTTTGTGTAATCGGTCTCACTGCTCTGACATGTGACAACATGAGCTTGGTGAAAGTTTAACAAAGAAAAGTTCACTATGAAAGTGTGAACCACAACAATCCATTATATCTTTAGCTGGATCTGCTACATCTGTTCACCACACAATCATCACCTGTATCATAGTGAATGTGCAACTTATTTCATCCTTATGTTGAATTTAACCATGAAATGTAATGATACAAACAGCCACACTGCACTTCAGTTGGACCATGCTGCTATCAAAGTCATCTGTACAAAAGCTGGAGGAAAGTTGTGTACCATCTCCATCAGCGTTATAAGTTAGCTGAATCTGTAAACAGGTCACATATTGATAATCTGCAAGATGTCTTATTTTGCAAGGAAAGGGATGTTTTAAAAATTTAATGTTTTTATTTATAAATGTTTTTTGAATGCCAAATGGAAATTAATAAGCGAGCCACTAGACTGCATACCTGTTTTTAACTGCAGCCACTTTCAGTAAAGGTACTGGGAATAAATGCAGGAATGATCAGCAGATGTAAGTTCAGTTATTTTTGAAGAACTGCATTATTCACCCAATTTCTCCCATTTAAATCACCAAAAAAAAACCTAAAAAATTTATTAGACGTTCTGTGTGTAATGTCCAGAAAACCATTATGATATACTCACAGGCATTAGGTGAACTTTAATTTAATTTATTTAGGACAGTGCATGTTAATGAACATAAATGTAAAATAAATTACATGAATGTAAACATGCCAGATTATAGCCAAGGGCTAATTTCCATCTGTTGTCCATAAAACATTAAAAGTACTCACACATACACACCGTTCTATTCCCAAATAAAACATTAAAACTATACAACTTATACATGATCACACACTTGATTTGTCCATAACCATTTTTTAACCTGTGCCTTAAACAAGTTGAATGTCGAGCATTCTCTAAAGGATTGAGGACTTCTATGTTATATCCTTGCGCTTCTTTGCAGGAAAGCACTTGATTAACGATCACAAGATTGAACGTCTCTGTCAATTTACCCCAAGGAGACTGCGCAAAAATAATAAAAACATTCTACTGTAAGACTCCACAGGTCTCAGGCCACATGCTAACGTTCATAACATTAAAATTCATGACAGAATAATTCGAAGAAGCATGGCTGGCTTTGAAGGGTTGCCAGGAGAAATCATCTTCTCTCTAAAAGAACATGGCAGCACAGAGTATGTTTGTACAAACTGCAAAATTTCAGAAACAATGTTCTTTGACCAGATGAGACCAAATTGGAGATGTTTGGCCACAATGCACAGCCACCCATTTGGTAGAGCCCAAACATATATCAGCATATCAGGACCTCACACCTCCTACCAGCTGTCAAGCAAAGTGTTGGAAGGCTGATGATTTGGGCTTGTTTTGCACCCATGGGATCTGGGCACTTTGTACTCAGCGAGTAGCTGGTGAGTCGCTCCAGTCTGCAGGTAACTGTGGTGATCTGCAAGCAATCCATGGCAACCTCGAGAAGATTTTTAGTGCATCACCCTTTTTCTGACAGATTTTGACTACCAGCAAACTCACCCTGGAGTCAGGAATAGAGATCTTCCTGGAGTGACCACTGGTTCAGTGTTGTTGTTCAGTTGTGAACAAGCACATGCAACATCTTTTGAATTTGCACTTACAACTAAAGTACCAAAGTCTTTCAGTGATATCACACAACATTTTGTTAAAGACTTAAGAGTCAGGGAAGATTTCATTTTTATGACACATTACACCATTACACTGCGATTAAAAACCATTTGATCCTAATGGCTGTTTGTTTAATTTGATTTTGATGCACTTAATGGTTGTGTGGCATATCTGAAATAGTGTTACTCAAACGAACACGCTGATTCCTGTTTTTGAATTTGCTCAGGTTGGAGAGCAGTGTGGTGCACAAATACACTCATCCAAGTACCTTTATTGTGGCAGCTGAATGCACTTGCAGTGAAATGCACATTACTGCTCAGAAAATAATTACGATTCAAGAGCCTGTTGCAGAGATCGGTGTTATCAAGTGCTATGCTGGAAACCTGTCTTTTTATGAAACCAACTGCAAAGCCCTGTATGGAGAAGCCTTTCATATTCAAATGGAAGTAAAAGCAGGTAGGTACCAAAGTGAACCTAATATCAAATAATTAAGTTGAAATTTTGATATCTCTACATAACAGCATCGGCTTTAGTTTGAGCATATATTTGTTTTTTTCCCAAAATCATGTTTGACTTTTACTGTCACTTAAGTTTTATTTGTTTTCTATTCTTTAGGTACGAATGTGACCTACAGAATCGAAGCTGATGAAAAGCCGTTGTCCGGTTTATCTGTGGTCAGAGGAACTGAACCCCAGAACGTCACAGTGACATCAGAAATAGTGACGCAGCTCGGGTCTGGCTGCCACCATCTGACACTTTATGCGTCTAACACGGTCACATTCCTTGAAGTGTCCAAAGACCTGCAGGTACAGTAAATCAAACTAATAGTCTTCTTTTAGTACAACAAAATAATGATGTATCATCCCCAGGTTTCTGTTGAGCATGGTGTTCATATGAATAAAGAATTTGAGTACTGATTGAAAAATTAGACTGTTTAAAATTCTTAATTAAATTTAACCTTTAATTAAAAAACTTCCTTAAGATAATTAGGGAAATATAACTGGGAAGACGAGAACATCTCTCTCAATTTAATTCACAATTATTTCCTTTTTTTTTTTTCATACCAACTATGAATTTAAAAGTCTGCACTTTCATCCTGCTGTCCCCATTAAGGTAATCAGTCATTTTAAGTCAAGGAACATAGTGTGAAAATGTGCCTTTGATCTAAGTTGAGGGTCCGGTGGCGCCAGTGTCCGGCAGCCTCGCCTCTGTCAGTGCGCCCCAGGGTGGCTGTGGCTACAATGTAGCTGCCATCGCCAGTGTGTGAATGTGTGTGTGAATGGGTGGATGACTGGATATGTAAAGCGCTTTGGGGTCCTTAGGGACTAGTAAAGCGCTATATAAATACAGGCCATTTTAAGTTTAATCAAAATTAAACCACAAGCTCTGATGTCACTCAGCTGCCAGCTAACCTCCGTAAACAGGAAGCTCAGCTCACCTGCTCTTCTTTGCATGGCACAAAAACTCTGGAAATATATTGGAAGTTTTTGTTACGGCCGAGAGGGCCAGGCGGTGAGTGTGGACTCAAATGCAGACATAGAGGGAGGCAAAACTGGCGTGAATACACTGCTTTATTTACAGTGCGTAGTTTAATTACAGAGCAGGACATAATGTAGGCTATGGACTGTGAAGGCTAAGAGGCCAGACTATGGAACATGGAGCTCAGACTGTGCGCTATGACTAAATGGTAAATGGCCTGTATTTGTATAGCGCTTTAGTCCCTAAGGACCCCAAAGCGCTTTACACGTCCAGTCATCCACCCATTCACACACTAGACTAGATGCTAGATTTCGTGACCAGATCCTGGGGAGGGAAAAGGGGCAGCGGCCTGGGTGGAGGTACACAGAGTCACTATAACGAGAAGAGACAGGCAGTCAGTGGCAGTCTAGTGAATGTCAGTCGGTGGATTCAACTATGATGGTTATGGCTTACACGTAGCAGGTGAAAGTGGCATGCTAGAGGTCCAAGGAGGGTCTGGAATACACTTATAGCAACAGGCCTGGCAGGGAGGCAGGCAGGCGAAGTGCCACGATGGAGGGGGTTACAACCAGATATCAGGAAACCAGCATCCAGACAGAGATAGTTCAGTTCGAGAAGCGTAACACCCAGGCGGGTGAGTTAGCTGTAGATCTGGCAGAGGTCTGTTGTGAGCACTGGTCTTATATGCTGGTGACTTGATTGGATTCAGGTGTGAAGGCTGATTGGAGTCTCCGCCTGAACGTGGAGCCCAGCAGAGTGGAAAAACCCCGCACTCACCCAGACCATGACAGTTTTATTCTTCTCATAGACAGTCACAATTTAATATGTCAAGATTTTTCTTTATCAGACAATGTCTTACTGAATTAAATGTTTTGTAGAGTATCTTTAATGTATTTTCATAGTAAACACTAATTGCCAGATTAACGTGTTATCTGCTTCTGTTATCTGATTAATGTGTTCCTCTGCTTTGTAATTCTGCTTATCCCACAGGTGTGTGTTCTGGAGAAAATAGTTGGACTTCAGGCCTCTGTGTTGACAGCGGGCGATGAATGTTTAGATTCCCCATTTATTACTTTTGATGTGTCCCTTGTACGAGGAGAGCCTGTGATGCTCTTGTTTTCTCTTTCTGGAAACAATGGCTTGTTCACTGAAACCAGACAAATGAATACCAGAAAGGAAATGTTTGAAACTGAAAACCCAATTCAAGGTGAGCTTTAAAATGTAGATGGTAAATGGACTGCTTCTTATGTAGTGCATTTTACCCCTCAGCCATAAAAGGCTAATTGAAGGTATTGTTGTCGTTCGGCCAGGTGGGCGGGCATCATGAATACCAAAGATTGTGAATGTGATAACTCAAGAACAAAGCAACATAGGAGGTTCAAATTGATATCATAGGTGTATCTACTAAAAGTCTCAGACGCTCGGTGACCTCAACCTCAAGGTCAAAGATCAAGTTCTCCAAAAATCTTGTGAATGATAATCTACGAATAAGGCGATATAGTATTTTGAAATTGATAACACAGGTATTCCATAGTGTTAATGCATCTCATTTTCTACTCTGCCTAAGCACTCTAAGTGCTTTGCACAACTTACTTACAACTTACAACTTATGTTCATACACATTCACTCACATTGATGGATGCATTGGATTGGTATCATGCAGACTGGAGCTGCCAGGGATCAAACCACCAACCTTCTAATTAGGACTGTAGATGACCTGCTCTACCTCCTGAGCTACAGCCACCCGAATTTGATGTCAGTCAAAATGTCTGAAACATGAATATTTACAGATTCTACTGCTGATTCATTGATTTTTTCCGTGTGTTTTTCTACAGGTTCTATAGAAGCAAAACTCAGAGTTTGGAACATCTTCTCCTCTCTTGAAGTGGTGCTGAATATATCTGATTCTTGTGATAAAGATTTAGGCTTTAAACCCAGCGATCAAAATAACATTTTGTTTGGAATGAACAACAGACGGGTAATTACAGAAGTCCATCCAATTTATAGTTGTGTAGTTGTACTTCTAATGTAACTGTACAAAATAATATTTTAAGTAAATATTAACCCTCATCCTCACCTTTGTTCTACCTTACCTGACATTTATAAATGCTTGTGTTTTCAGAGAAAGAAGCATGTTAGAGTTGGCAGAGCTCTACTGACACTCACAGCTAACCGTTCAGCTACAATAACTCAAAGAGATGGAGGGGAAGGAGACTGCGGAAACGACGACTGTGGAAAAGGCAACTGCGAAAAAGGGGGAGGAGACTGTTGCAAAGGCGACTGCGGAAAAGGCGACTGCGAAAAAGGGGGAGGAGACTGTTGCAAAGGCGACTG